GTTTTCAAGGCACGTCTTCGCGCCAGTTGGCAGTCGACTTGGGATAGCAACTTCATAGCAAGCTTTTCCAGATCAAACCTTCTGTTGCTCTTTGCCTGTCTTGTTTCCATAAGGATCGGAAGGAGGAAGTTGTCCTGACTAGACTATGTTTGTGACACTCAAGTCACAATAGCCCGCATTTTACTGTCATGCTGTCGTTATTACCGTGAGTAGCAGCACAATTTTCGGCATATACTTTCTATGGATTTACACTTGATATTGGATGGTGTCATTGGTGATAGTTATTACAAGTGCATAGAGGGAGATACTGCAGAATGAGGTTGTGTCACACTAGTATTGGTGGAGGGCTATTCGTGGTTTAGGTGAGAGTTAGCTCAAGGCTAGTGACATGCAAGTCTCATAGGCAAAAGGAAATAGTATTTATTTGTGTAGATGTATATATCTAGAAAATATTTTCAGATGAGGAAAATTTTGTCATGAAATTTAACTCAAAAGCCCATTCAGTATATTCACAAAATGACTTCCAAGGCTACCATGATTTATACTAATTAGTTCTTATAATGTCTAAACATGTTATGGTGAAGGTAGTGGTTGGATATAAAAAATCTTAAAATTTTATTAATTTTTGGAATATGGAAGTGAAAGTTTTATTAATGCATTACTTTTTAATCTATCAAATGATGTATTATGTTGTTTTCTGTACAGAGAAGTGTCTGTTTTGTTCTCAGCTCACACTTTATCCCCATGAACACATGAATGAGATTAGCTGAATTTTTAATGACTTTTATCACATAGTTAAAAAGCCAGACGATTTATGATAGCTAAAGGACAATGCCTGCTTTGTTATTCTGTATTCTTAGGTGCATTATTTAATTAAATAAAAAAATATGTAGTGTAGTAGTACCAGCAGTATACAAAAAGTTGGATTATATTTCATTGACAATTGACAGAAACAAAAAGAAGATTTGAGTAAGTACTATATTTTTTGTTTTTCATGTATATTCTCTATTTATTATTGTAAAAGGAACTAAAATGTAAAAATTAGATAAGGTAAGGTAAAGAAAAATAATGATAATCATAAAAATGTTCATGATGTAAGATTGCTAGCAGCATAATTCGATAGAGCAATGTGTGTTACACCTTCACTGTGTGATTTACAATTTGTGTGGTGGGATTATTGATTAGACATAGTTCAAAGGGAAATAAAACAATATAATTTAAGTTGAAACAGATGTATATCATTGTGAGCTTTATGCAATTTAGGATAACAAATATAATTTCCTGTTACAATTTAAAGTCATTCTGGAATGAAAAAAAAGTTAACTTAGATTTATTTTGCATTTTTTATGGTGTATAGCAAATAACAGACAAAATGTAACATTTTTCTAAAAAATAGGTTCAAATTTATTTAGGTTTTAGAGATTAAGCAAATGAAATTGATAATTTCCAGATGAAGAAAAGTGTTTTTAATTGTAATACAAAAATCACTTCATACTCAGAGTAGTCAACTTTTTTGACTCCATTTACTCCCAGAAACATTTTAAGTGAAAATACTTCATTAAAAATTCATATTTTTCTTTCTACAAAAGACTTGTACAGAAAGGTTTCTAGTTTTGTTGGGTATGTGTCCCTAAAAAAAAAAAGACTTTAGGTGAAATGAGGTAAATATAAATTTATTTTCCCATTGAAATAATGGTATAAATAGGATATATGTTTTTGTGAGATATTATTTGCCCATAACTTACAGAAAAAGTGTTAAACAAGTGCCCAAATACATACTGTTTCATTAATAACTATTTAAATAAATATTATACATAAAATATATTTGTTTTATCCACCCAAAGTTGTGTCATCACAGTACCAAAGATGGTGAACAACTGGACTGTCACTCGCTTGCAGGACACGGAAGAAAGAGCACAATGAAGCAATGTGCTCTGCCTAGCTACATGGTGCAAAGTAGTTTGGGTGCTTTTTGAAAATTAAGTTATTGTGAGAAAATGATATTTATATCGAAGCTTGTGTCATAATATGTTGGCAACATTCTAGTGACGTAACTCAAGTGGGAATGATGTAAATAGAGAACTTACTGTATATTGAAAGCTTGTGAAATTTCATGAGGATAAACAGAACACATTAGAAATTATAGCATGAAAACTCATAAAGGTCAATTTTTGGTCATGAACTTGAGCAAATTAAGCCCATTGCAAGAAAGTTAAACCCTGATTTATAAACTTTTATTTCCCCCTTTTTTTGTGGTATAAAATATGTGATAACATCTGAGTAGCATTGAAACCTTAATTGAAGTTATAGTTTGTTTTCCATCTCTAAATTTGTTTAGGGGGTGAAGGTAAGTGTTTGTTGGGTGACCTCTGTATTGGTCTATAATAGGTAGTATGGTGGTACGACTTGTCTTTTTCTCTTAGTAACATACTGGTGAAGAAAGCTTTAGTATGTGATCAAACTGTGTATATCCAAAGTTTATTTATGATTTGCATGTCTCTCTGTTTTTCAAGCAACCTTGGGCTTTTGTTTCCATGACTGTTACAACCATATGGGATATTACTTGTTAAATTCTATCCTAGGAAAGTCAAATGGAACCATCTTTACATCTTGCCTGTATTCAATGGTGCTACATAAGTTTCCTTATGTTGTACAGCATTTGTTAATCTTTTGCATAAAAGTATGTTTTTTGTTTTTTTACATATCCTGCACTTGAGACATTACAGACAAATATTTACATTGATCATGTTTGAGAATAAGCCTTTAAAGGAGTGTTCTAATTCTGTTAATTTTTTTTTTGTTGTTGTTCATTTAGCAGCAACTATGTGCATAAGTGATATTTAAAATTAGTTAATTATGTCATGTGACTATTTGACAAAAATACACTGTTTAAACATGCTATTATTATAATGTCCTGATTAACTCTCACCATTTCTATTCAATGAAGTAAAAGTGTTAAGAATTTTAGTTTCATCCTACAATATTTGCCCTTTAATTTATTTGTATTGTTATAACTAAAATTTGGTTTTTTGGCTAACTCAGTTACTTAGTTTTATTTTTTTCTTATTACAAAGTTATTTTTATTTTTTCCAGGTCATTGCTATGATTAAAGGGCTTCAGGTTTTGATGAGTCGTATGGAAACTGTATTTACAGATGCCATTCGTCGACATATTTATGCTGAACTTCAGGACTTTATCCAGTTAACCTTGAGAGAACCTCTTCGTAAAGCAATAAAGAATAAAAAAGATTTGATCAGAAGGTACAGAATATTTTTTAAGAGTGTTTTTTAGAACTGACCTTACAAAAGCTTTAGCCTGTTGGGGAAAGGTTAATAATCTTATAAAATGTTAATGTTAAAAAATAATTTAATTTCATAACAGAAAAGGATGGATCCTGAATGACAGCTTTAATTTGGTGATTTTTTTTTTTAAGTAATTTTAAACTAAATAATATAATTAAATGTATATCTCTCTGTTGGGTTACTAGAAACAATTGCCTTACTCATTTATAATTTTCACCTATGGTTTTAAACTTTTAATCCAGATTTCTCAATTAGCTTGTATTTTTTGTAGGTTTGACTCAATAATTTGCCATTTATTTTAGAAAACAGTTTGAGTTACTCTGGCTGGTGAAGTCTTATACAGACTGCTCCATTTGGTATCAGACTTGCCAATTTTTATGTGTCCATGCTTCCCTTACACTGAGATCAGTCTTCAAGGATATAACTTTATCAGTTATTCTGGGTGCACCAAATTCTGGTAGTTTTCTTGAAAAGGAATTCATGGACTTCTGCAATATTTGCAAAAGTGTGATTTCTTCTAGACTTGACAGCTCTCTCAGACAATCATCTTCTTTTGGTGTATGACTCTCCCTCTTGATTGTAAGTCATTCAATGCAGAAAATACCATTTCCTGATGGACCTTTGTAATGTTTACAAAAGCCTTATTTCTCTTACACTTGACAGTTATCTGAGACAACTATGCCTTTCAAGTTGTAGAGAATGCCACTTCTTCAAGAATGATGCCTTTTTAAACTTAACACAAGAATTCAAGGTGAGGACAATATACATGTGATCACGGCACCAAAATCTTTCTTGTTCCTTTCTACTCTGTGGTAATCTCAAGTAAAACTGTTTTTTCCAATGGTGAAAAGATGGGTCAGCAGAATAACAGGAGATTCAACAAGTTCTTCATTACAAAGTGATTCTAAGTTTCTGACTTTGACTGAATTTGATAAAAAAAAAGAGCCTGGACACAAGCTAACTCTTTCACCACAGGAACCTTTTTATGCACATGTAACAAGATTTTTGTGAGTTACATTCAACATTTAACTAAACTACTTTATTATTATGGTATATGAATATATGTGGCATAAAAATGTAGCTGATAATCCAAATTTTAGTAGTATATTAGTTTTAGTAAGTAATATTTAAAAGAAATCTTGAATTTCTCTTAGTATGAGAATTGTGACATTTACTCTAGGAATCTGCTCTTCTCTCATTTATTTATCACCTCTCCAAGAAGTATGAAATTTAAAATATATTATCATTATAATCTTGTCATAGCTCAAGGAAAGCATAATAATCATACTTCAACCTTATTTGGTTACAGAGCCATCAAATAGAAAATCAGGCCTCTTTTGCCTTGCCGACCTGTCACGTCCTCTCTTTCAGAAATTACCAATAGTTCTTCTCTCTCTGATGTTTAATGCTATGTTGTTTAGAACCAATAGAAAGCAAAGGTTTTAATCTATCAAATGATGTATTATATTCAGTTCAAGCTTTTTTCCCACAAGAAATACATTGATGAGATTAGTTAGAGTTTTAATGGCTCTTATCGCACAGTTAGAAAGCCAGAAAAGTTTTAGTAATTATTGGATATTATCTGCTTTTTGCATCTTATTATTCTGTGTTCTCTGGTGCATTATTCAGTTAAATAAAAAATTGTTTAATGCAGTAGTACCATTACTATAGAAAAGTAGGGTTAAGTGTCATTGACAGTGGAAGGTATAAAAAGAGAAGACCCAGGTAAATACTTTATTTCCTGTTCAATCAAAATGTAAAAATAAGAAACTCATTAGGTTAGTTAAGATTAGAATAGGTGAAATATGTAATAATAATAATAATATAAAAAATTTTCAAGATGTACACTCACGAGCAGCTGATATGTAACATGAGCTGCACGTTCACCAAGTGATTTAAAATATATGTAATGGCATGAATAGCTATATCTGGAAAACGAAAGGAAACAAGTTGCTAGTGAAAGTGATGAGCCAACTGACTTGGAGGCATCAAACAAAAGTTACAGTCAAGTGCAAAACCAGCTGTGAAAAAGTTAGAAATAGAACTTCTTGTAAAATCAAATTTTAGAAAAGACCAAGTAAAAAGCAGATGGAAAAATTGAGAAGCTTGGGGAAAAACTGCTGTGTTTATATTTGAAACTGACGTGATGTATAATTTTGGAAATCAGTCTAAGTAGACTTTTCATTGTTTATTAGATGTTCTGAATGCAAGTAATTGAATTTTAATATCATAATGTTAAATCCTGCTCATAGTTATATACCACAGCTGGTTAACAGCATTTTGATTGCTAGTGTACAGTTTCATGTTTTAATCTTTTTCTTTAACAAGTGGTTGGAAAAAAAAGAAATCTTTGTCTATGTAATACAGCATGTACAGTTGTGTATGTTTAACCCATTTTGATGCTGAATGTGTATTGAATTATTTTCTTTCAATTTAATGATGGGTAAAGCGTAGGAAAAGACGTGTGCTTGGTGTGCCTTTTTGTAGAACTGTCAAGTTTGTTCAGTATGTTTGGTAATACAAATATATGAATATTATAAGTTAGCTTTAACTATGTACAGAATTTTGACTGCATTTCATTATGGAAAAACCAATGTTTTATTCCAAATGTTTTCTTTGATATGCACATCTTAACACTTTAAAAAGTTGTAACATTCGTACTTTGACCTGCCCATAGCAAGAGGGTTAGAGAGTTACATTGAAAATGTAATTAATCTACTTTATTATCTTGGTACATGAATAAACTTGGAGTAAAAATGTAGTTAATAAATTAAATATTAAAATTATATGTTTTAAGTTCCTAATTTTATAAGCATATATTTACAAACATCCTCAATCTCACCCTAGTATGTGAATTATGACATTTGCTCTCTAACTATCAACTATTCTCTATTTTATTTACCACCCTTCTGAGGAGTATGAAATTTAATGCAAGTTACTCATAATATTGTTATGACTCAGGCAAAGCATAATTTTTATAGCCTTCAATCTTATTTGATCACAGAGCTATATAACTTCTAAAATCAGACTCTTCTTGCCATGCCCACTTGTCTCATCCTCTCTTTCATTACTCTCTGAAGTTTAATACTATATTATTTATAACCAATAGAAAGCTAAAGTTTTAGTTTATCAAATGACATATATTAAATTGTTTTCTGTAAGAATAATTGTCTATTTCACTTTAAGTTCAAACTTTATTCTTAGCCTGTTATTGCATAGTTAGAAAGCCAGAAAAATATGATGGTTATCGGGTATTGTCTGTTCTTTACATGTTACTATTCTATGTTCTTAGGTGCATTATTTATTTAAATAAAACAATATTAATGTAGTAGTGCCAGTTATATAATAAATTAGGGTTATGTTTCATTGACACTTGACAGCAAAAAAAAAAAGATCCAGGTTAGTATTATTTTCTTGTTTTTCATGGGTATGCTTATTTATTATTATAAAAGTATCTAAAATTAAAAAATTAAAAACTTGTTATGTTAGATAAGGTAGAGAAAAAAATAAAAATAAAATGTTCACAAGGTATGCTCATGAGTAGCTTGTGCATTATGTAATTTGATAGGGTAATATGAGCTACACATTTGCCAAGTGAATTAAAAGCTCCCTTCTTTTGTCAAAAATAGTCAACCGTACTCAATATCTAAGTAATGTGCATGAATATTACTATTGCTTCTTTTTATTTTAAGTTCTGTTGGATATATTAGGTTTGGATCAAACTTTAAGTTATTGATAGAGATTAAATCATCTGTGTAATGAAAAGTATAAATACACAGATTAGGCTTTAAATACCTGTTTTAAAAATGAATTTTCATTGAAGAACAGATACAAGTTGGCCATGTTTGAAGAGAAATTAGCACCGAACAGAATACTCACTGTTTGTTTATACACTTCTTCATTAAAAGTAATATAACTATAAAAGATACAAAAGTTAAGTATATTTTTACATTGATTTTCAGTGAATTTATTTTTTGGAATAAATATATCTATAAATTTATCAAATATATTATTAAAAATCCTGAATAAATCTATCAGATCTATTTTTATATATATAATATACTAAAATAATAAGTAATAACAAAGTTGGCTGTTTTTAAAGAGCTTTAGTTAAACAATCCAAAACCAGAATATTGTTTTTAATAATCTAAAAATTGTGGTCTGATTTATTTGATAACAATAACTTTATTTTTTTTCAAATAAAACATCCAGAATGTTATTGAGTACAATAGAAACACATTTACTCACTGTATTTGAAGAGTTTGTAATAAACCTAAACTATGAGTTTTATGCAATTTCAGAATTGCATATTTTTAAAACTGGTATTGATAAAAGGAATTATTATCTCCCATTTAAAAAGAATTTTAACAATTTATAATAATAGTAATAATGGCTATAAGGACTGATATATAATAAATATGGAACTATATTAAAAATTAAGCTTTCAATCATGGAAACTACCTTGTGGAGAACTTGGAGGGCACAAGTTACTCAAGGCTATCCTTGTTTTAAGTAACTTCAACATATTAAGATATTTGATCCATATAACAGAATGAAAAGACCAACTTCAGGTAGCTGGGGGTGTTTCAGCTCACCAAATTTATACTTGAAGAATTTTTTTAAGACAGAGGGAAGAGGATGGGGCTTAAGAACTATTAAGGTAAGGGTTTTTAGTTCTGTGTAACATCACTAATTATTAACTCTTTAAGTGTGGAATTAAATTTTGGGTGGGTTCTTGAAAAGTATCAATTATACACTAAAAAAATGAAATTTAGAATTTGACCTTTTTTAGTGCTGCTTCAATATCAAAATCCACCAGTTGCACTTTTGCTCAGTGATGTACGCACACATGGTACTGAGGTGGAAAATTCAAGGACGTGTGAGTATCTTGATTGTCACACTATGAAGAAAAGTTTTTTAACACTTGGATAAATTTGCTTGTTGCACCAAATGCTTATCAATGTCAAGTCAGATAAATTCAATTGTAGCATTGAAAGGGTTAAATAACTGGGTGGAGATTGGGAGTTTTATAGAGATATGGGGGGGGGGGGCTTATTTCTACTATAAGAATATTTTTTTACTTTTTATATCTTATAATATTAAAAAAAAAAGAGTGGAGGTTGGGAGTTTTACATTGAAGAATTTCAGGGTGGTTTAATTCTACCTTAAGGTTATATCTAAATATTAAGGATAACTGCCTTCCTACAACTGGCAACGGAGGCTAGCCTCGCGGTATTCAATGGCTTCAGACACTTTTGGTGGTGGTGATAGAGGCTCTTCATTATCCTCTTCTTGTGGCTTGAGAACCGGTACACTTGCCTCCGTCGGTGCTACAGTTTCATTATGGACGATGCTCAAATGTTGGGCATTCGTCATCAACAGAGTGCCACTGGTGTAGCTCTTCGTTGCTCTATTCAGACAGCTTCTTTGCCTCATGCACATCTTCCTCTGAGAAGCCGTACAAATCAGTCTCGTCATCATCATCTTCTGTGGTGGATTTCTGTGATGAAAAGGCTAGCCCCAGACCCTTTTCCCAGCATTTCTCTACACACGACGATCTCACTGCTGCCCAGGCCTTCCCACCTCAGTGGCAAACTTCTTTCATGTTCAGGCATTTCAGATAGGCTTCAAGCATTGTTGAAGGATTTAGTGAAAAAAAAAAAAAGTTTGAAATGCATTTAGGAGGTCTTGGGGATTACACAAAGGAAATTTGGGAATTTTAAGATGACGAAAAGTATTATTAATTTTGATTTGAAAATCACTTTGCACTCAGACTAGTTAAAAAAAAAAAGAATCAATATTTTCACGGACAAATTTAAGTAAAAATACTTCATTAAAAAATCTGATTTTTTGTGTGCAAAGGGATTGTAATGTTTACTATAAGTCTACAAAATTTTGTAAAGATACATTTAAAATATTAAAAGTTATTAGTATTTAAACTATAACGAGGTTATGGTTACAAAGTCAGTCCCAGGGACCGAGCCTACGTTGAAAGAGTTAATGAACCATCGTGTTATATTTGAATTTGTGTTAAATCGGGGTTTAACTGTATTAAATTACCTATAGTTAGTTCCTATTTTTTGTATTTGAGTTATTTTTATAACAATAAGTAAAAATTTAGATAAAAAATTTAGTACTTAAATCTTAAATCTTCAGGATCTTGCACTCTTACAATCTAAGACGTCATCAAAATATAACCCTAATTCAACGTAATCATAATGTGATCTGAAAATTTTTTAAAAGTTAAATTATCCAGTTTAAAATATTAAATATTTCTGTGTATATCAGAAGAAGGTACTAAAACATATAATTTATCTGGATTTCTAACTGAGTTAGAAATGGCTTAAAATAATTCCCATACCTGGTCAAGCAGAACTCCAAAAGCAGCATGCAAAGAATATGATACCAACATATTCAGATCTGCATAGCTCAGGGCTTTTATACCTCATAGCTATCAGATAAGTGAAATCCTTGCCTTCCATTGATTACAAGTAATACAGTAGCAAATGTCAGAGAGAGAATTTTATGGCATGTTTTGAAAGCAGGATGTTCTGTGGGATGTGTAGCATATGTCATTCACTTTATTGCTTAAAGCAAAAAAAAACTTTTTCACAACAAACTGACAGCTTAATTGAGGGATATATAGAGTATAAGTGACAAATTCCATGGAAAGTTAGGACATCTTACAGAAATAGAAGAAAATGTAGAAGTGGGAAGTTTGGACTGAAGAAGTGTCATGCAATGCAAAAAAATTTAGCATATATTTTTATAGATACTTTTAAAATTAAGAAATTAAAATTATATATAAAATGTTAAAATGTGAACTGTAAACTATGTTTTAATGCCAAATTTATAGATGTACATTCATTATAAAGTAATTCAATTAAATTTTGAATGCAACTCTGTAAAGTGTCATGACATGCACACTTTAACCTACCTGCAGTGAGAGAGTCTAAATGTAGACTTGTTTGTGGATAAAGATATAAACTTATATATATAATGTGGAAACATCTGTTAGTTGAGTTCTTGCTGAGTTCTTTTCCAGATGGTTCTGATATGATTAGTGTATTTGCAACATCTCAACCAACAACTGGTCCAGTTATCAACGCTATTTTCAAGTTTTGAACAACTATGTTTTCGTTTATCAACGTTATATTTTAAGATCTGGGCAAGAACTCAGCTAACGGATGTTTCCACATATAAAAGTTGTCTTCAAGTTTTGTACGCCAAAAAAAACTTTTCAAATATATATGATGCATATACGTGAAAAACTTAGTGATGTGTTCAATGTTATTTTTTAAAAATTGTGATAGAAGAGTTTAGTACACGTGCCTCATGTTTCTTTTTCATATTTTCTTGATATAAAGCATCATCTTGTCGGTAAGAGAGACCTGTGCTGACTGGGCACGAGGAGTTGAACCACCTGATGATCCAGCTCTCAAAGGAAAGAAAGACCCGGAAAATGGATTTGATATTAAAGTACCAAGAAGAAATGTTGGGCCATCAAGCACTCAGGTTTGAGTATTAACTTCTTATTAGAAAGAAACGTGATAATGCTTTATATTTTGTCTGTATATGTTATTTAGTTGAATTGTGTTGACCTTTTATGTGTCATTTATACTATGCTTTTGTGAAAGTGTTGCTTAATACATTTTCACCATTGTTTTGTGCTACTTAAATCTAACCAAAAACACCTTAAGTGTGAAAAAAAAGTGCAGCTAAAAAAGGATTAAGAGTGTGACTTAAAGGAATTAAATTAAAATTGGCGACCAAACTGGTGGCTACACCTATAGCATTGATAACAATTTTACACCAAATATTCATTAATTAGTTAACCAGGCTGCATTTTTTTGTTCAACTTGGGGCATGAGGGTGGGTAAGACAAAATACGTGGCCTAGCTAACTGATGATTAAATATTTGCTGTAAAATTCTTATCAATGCTATAAGTGTAGCTACCAGTTTGGCCACTAATTTTGATTTCACTTCTTTAAGTTGCATGCTCAATCTGTTTTTCAGATGTACCTTTTTTACACACCTATGGTGTTTTTGATTAGATATTATGACTTTTTGTCAATACATAACAAGAAACCTCGGCAAGTAAGAAAGTGACACTCAGTAGTAACCAACATTAGCTTCAGGAATGCAATCCCTATTATTCGGAACAGACATATTCTTTACAGAACCAATCAGGTTCTTTAAAATATATGATGGTACTTTTCCTCTAAAAAAGTGTCAACAAATTCCTTGATATTAACACCATGAAAACTAGATTAACAGTTTCTTGTCATCACCTGCATGCACTCGGTACAGCTTTACCAAGTATCATTATTTATTCTAATTGCTTAAGCTAATATCATGTGATACTAATCACTCTTTAATTAGGAGAATTTCATAAAATTTAGCAAACTTTTGCTTAAAAGTTGAAGAAGTATAAGTGTTTATCCATTTTGCTGCACTAAAACAACCGTCTTTAATCCAAATGACAAAAAACTAGAAACATTCTACCTTTACTCTTAGATGAAGCTGTAGTAAAAATTTCAGACAGATAGCTCGTGTAACTTTATGCACAGGTGTGTGCAAATATTTCGGTCACATTTGAGTAGTTTTTGTTGAACAATTTTGCACATTTTACTTATGTTTAGACCAAATTTGACACCTAATTGTAGGTTGTAAAGATCTGTCTCTGTACCAATTTGAAAAAAATTATGTAAGTTAAGTATGTTTTTATATGAAATAAACTTTCCGTACTTTCTGTGTGAAGAAAAAAAAAAAAGAAATTCAGTCAAAATTTGAGATTTTGTATCTCTTGTATTCCCTAATGTATTGACTTGAAATATAGCATATGAAGTAAGGGTCTAGTAGAGCACATCTACTGAAAATGTGTGATAGCTTGAATTACCACAGTCCTAGCAACAAAAAGTGGAAAATTGCAAAATTATCACTCTTGTTAATAACACACAGTGTGTCCTGCAGGTTGTTTTGGCCACCACCCCTCCAGTAACTATGAAATTAAATGTAAATTACTCTATAAAGTTGTCATTGCTCAAACAAACAATAATTTTTATAGTCTTCAATTTGTTACAGAGCTATTGATTAGAAAATCATACCTCCCCTGCCACGCTTACCCGTTACATCCTCTCTTTCAGAATTCATTGATAGTTCTCTTACGTTTCATTATATATTACCTATAATCAATAGAAAGTCAATGTTTTTATCTATCAAATGATGTATTGTATGACGTTATGCTCTGAACAGTTAAATGTCAGTTTGACTCAGAGTACCAACATTGTTCCTGTGAGAAAGTTAATGACAACCTTGGATGAATTTGTAACGACTCTAGTTGCATAGTTAGAAATCCAGAAAACTTTTGAGAGGTAAGTGAATTTGTCTACTTTTTGCATGTTAGTAGTTTATATTCTTTGGTGCATTATTTAATTAAATAAAAATTAAGTGCATTATTATCTATAGTATATACAATTAGGGTTAACTATCGTCGTGAACCCAAGAGTAAGAAAAAAGATTAGGTAAGTACTTTATTTCTTGTTTTTCATATTTATTCTTTATTTATTATTATAAAAGTAACTAAAATCTAAAAATACTGATCTTTTTATATTATTTAAGACTGGATTAGGTAAAATAATGCGACAGGAGCCATTACAAATTTATCTAATTTATCTAAATCATCACTAATTCAGTGTTGTCCAATCAATGTGTGGTGTATCAATAATTCAGTATGGTTAGATGATGTACGAGGCACTATGGATAAGTGAATGATTTTTTTAGCATTTTTAATTGTTTATAGATTTTGGAAATATGAGTTTACTGTGGTGTATTGTTAGCAACTGAAAGTTTTGTGCATGTTTGCACCTCAGAAAATACTGCTTTAATAAATATTTGACGTATGAGAAGCATACTTATTAAAACCATTCCATTTTACCACAGTAAATATGTTCCTTTCAAGTATTGAAAGTCAAAACATGTGAATCATAAATGTTAAAATCTTTAATTATTTTTATGATGTAATAACATTTTTGTAATTTAAGTTAAAATTAGAAAGTGTGATTGGTATGCACTATCATATATAAATGGATCAACTGCCACTGTTGTGTATGTTTTGATAAAGTACCCATAGTTAAAGAACAGCATGATCAATGGTACTGAAACTTTGCAAGATGACATTTAAGGAAACTTTGACTTTTAACATACAGCTTGTCTTGTCATTTATTAAGCATTATATAAATAATGTTTAGCAATTTCACATGTTATCATAGCTAATAGTTAGTTCAATGATACATTACAAACATTGATAAAATGGTCAAGGAATAAGATATTTTAGTCAGTGAAAGGTTTGGAAAGAGTTGGAGAATTTCATTCTGCTCTAGGTGTGGGAACCACGAGTAAGTTGTTTTCACAATTCAATAAAATACAACAGGTGCTTTGAATCAGTGTGCCTGGGTCTCATAATTAAACCAGTAATTTAAACAGAGCAATTAACCTAGTTTCCATCTATACATTAAGGTCTAGTGTACACAAAGAATTACTTAAATTACAAAGACTGGAAGCTAAGACTTGTAAATGCTAGTGCATCATGGAACAACAAAACTGAAGATCAAGAGTTTTTGTAATTAAAACATAGATAATATAAAACATTAAATTATAATGATCATTATAATGCTAATTTACTTGACATACATTGATAGGAAAGTTGCATAATTAATTAATTAATAATAGACAGAAACTAGGTTAATTGCTTTGTTTATGCATTCTTCCCCTTAAAATCCTTAGGACAAGTTCAAGAAGGGAAAAATAAAGCTCTTGGGAACTATTGACAGAAGCCATGACAAATTTATATCCATTATCATTCAATTTGGCATTCAACACTGTTTATTTCTCTAGATGTTTATATAATCAATAGAAAGCCCTAAATTTGCACTAGAATTTTCCATTGGTTATTTTCAAACTGTCATTCAGAATTCCATACAAGTTCTTGAATCCCCTTTTAGTATTGTTGCCCCCTATATACTTTCTGGCACTTTGTATTGTTTCTCATCTATAGATATGTTAGTTAGATAGACAATTATATTGTATTTAGGTTTTAGTTTTATATTTTAGTTAATTATGTGTTATTTATGTTTTAAAATGCATAATAGAAAGGTTTAATAATTTATTAGTTTAATAAAATATAAGCCAAACTGCCTAGTATAGTAGGTGTGTGTGTTCCAACTTCCTGATGAAGGCTAGAGTGCCTCTGCTTATGATACCAAGGAAACATGGTGATGTGTGTCATAAGTAATAATGCTAAAGGACAGGAAAGGAAAATGAAACATTAAAAATAAACTGTATGAAAATTTAAAACTTTCAATTAAGAATATAATCAAAAGAAGATCTTTTAAGATTATTCAACGAAAAATTAAAAGCTATGCACATTTTTTTCTATTTCATAATTTTAAACATTTTATTGCACAACACATTGATGATGATACTCTAAATATTCAGAGCCTGAGTGTAAGTAAGTACAATAAAAAATAACAAATCTTTAGTTGAAATACGTATTTAAAATAATCTCATTCTTTGTCTACAAATACTTGTAATCTTTAACAAAATCTTGCCAATTGTTGTGAAGAGATGTTAAGAAGGCTCAGAGTTATCATAAGTATTGTTGAACTGTATATCATTCTCCATATGAGAAGTTAGCCAAATGAGTACAAACATATGGTTAAATACTGGGTAATAATGATGGATTTGTTAAGTTTTGTTATCAGTTTTTGTTAATTTTTATATGTTTGTTTTAATGTGAGTAAAATGTATTAGATGCATATATTAGAAATCAAAATTGAGTTTGATAATAATAATGTGTAGAGTAAAATGATAAACAAAATGACACAAACTTGACAATCACAAAACAGATTTTATTTACAAACTCAGAAAACCTTTTCATTCACTTTTATCTCTTGTTTTAATGACTAAATGTTAGTTTCTATTGATTGTTTAAAAGATAGTTAATATCATTAACCTCATTAGTAGTAATTCTTGTTAAACAGTTTCTCTTTCCTCTCTTAGCATTTTCATTTACATAATACTCACATTGTGGCTTTTATAATGCCTGCATTTTTCTAAAAGCACCATCTAAGGCAGTCTTTTGTTCATTTGCCTGATGATCTCAGTCAAAACTTTAAAGTAAAAAATTTATCTAGAAAGTTAAATAGGCAATGAAGAAATCCTGAGTGATACATGTAAGAACTAACTGGTTTACTTAGCTAAATGTAACTTACAAACAAATTCTAATTATCCAGTAAAGAAAACCTGAATGATACCTTTGATTTACTTTGTAAATTATAGCTTATAAATTAAATAGACAGAGAAGAAAATGTGTGCATCTTGCTGAATGAAATTGATGTGAAAAAAATGTATGATAAATCTAAATTTAGGTTTGTACTGATTTACCAATGTGTATCAGGATTGGTTTTATCCATGTAACTGGTAAGAAGATGTATACCAGTATTATAATATAACTTTTGCTATGTATTCCTTTGTCATAATATAAAGCCGATTGTCATTAAACAATGGTTTTTCAGTTTAACATTGTTGCAGTTATCTCTTAACAGTAATATGCACACATGTTATACATTTTTGTTAATAGAATCTGTGTGATTGATAAGTAGGCCATGACATCTTGGAGTTAGAAAAATGTAAAACAATATGTGTTAGCTCCTACCTTATGTTTGAAAGTTGTACTTTAAACCATATACGAGATATTGCTTGCTGTAAACAGATGTTTTGCAGTAATGTGCAGGCTTTTCTAGAAACACGCATTTAACGACAACAACAAAAAGGATGTGAATTAAGATATCTAACTTGTCTGAATAAAATTTCCTTTCCGAGAAATTGAAAACACTTGCATCTGCTTGTTTTTTAAAATGTTTTTGTTTTAAAAAAAAGTTAAAAAAATACACATTTAAATATTTGAACCAGGCTTACATAAAACTATATATATGCATAATTATTAAAATTTCTTGTTTATCAATTAATGATGAAGTATTTTGTTGTTTAGCAGTTTAATATAATGGATAGTCTGAAGTTTATATAGGTTCATGTCAAGAAAGCAATATACAACAGGGAACAATATTAGCTTATTGTTTTCATAGGATTTCAATGTTTGCTAAATAAACAGTTGCTAGTATGCATAATTTCACCCTGATGGAACAACAGTATGTCGAAGACTTGCAACCTTAAAATCCAGGGTTTGATTCCTTGTGGTAGACACAGCAGATAGCTCAATGTGACTTTGCTATAAAAACAGTATGCATTACAAAACTCAGACACTTTTCAAACTACTGGTCTGAATTTAATGAATTAAATGCTGATATGATTCAAGGAAAACTTTTTAGAATAAATTGTATTTGTAATTCTAAAAAACTGTATTTAAAACTTTAAAAGGATAGCTAGGAAACTAAGAATTAAAAATATATATATGGCCATGCAAAATTTCAACTCTAACTAAGGTCAATATCAATGGAGAAGAGGAAATACAATTAAAAGTATTTCATCTTTAAAAAAGCATTCCGTTTATAAAGTTGTTTGTTAGAAGATTATTTTGTCAACAAAGTTGATTTAATATACTTTAATGGCTTTATTGAATTTAACCTGGCTTAATTGTAGTGATGAAAAATTAAGTATAAATGGTCTCATGATGCATAAATACACCTAAATATTATAAATATTAACAGTATTAATTTAAATTAATTTTTATTCACTTGGTTAAAGGAATAGCATCAACCTTTTTTTTTTATTCATTCATTGTTATCGTAACTATGGAGTTTGTGGTATTGAATATTTTTCATCTTTTAGCTTTATATCAAAATATCAGATTTTGCTTTTTACATATTATTTGAATTTCCAGTAGGAGGAAGATTTTTCTGAAATAACAAACATCAGTATTGTGAAATGTGGAAAAAAGAAATAAAAAAAGAGTATTATTGTGGATATTTTGATATTGAGGTAAAAGGGCAAAATTTTTTATTTCTAATTCATATATGAAACTCTGGTGAAAACTAGCAAAACTGATGTTAAAATAAGTATCAAGGCAACCTTTTAAAAATATTTTTTCTTGACAGTTGTACATGGTAAGAACAATGCTGGAGAGTCTTATTGCTGACAAAAGTGGTGGAAAGAGGACACTGAGAAAAGATATTGATGGCCCTTATCTTGTTGCTATTGATAATTTCCACAAAGCTTCATTTTTTTGGAGCTATTTACTCAATTTCAGCCGTATGTATAATTCTTTGTGGACACTGGTATTACTTACAAAGTTGATAGTTTCTCATTTTAACATCTTACTTTTAGATTAAGTTTGTATTTTGAATTTTTAACATTTTATTGCAAATAATTTTGAAAGATGTAAAACAGTTGAAGTGCTAATATGTGATATAACAAGCTCAGTCATTGCATTTTTTATCTTGTTTGTCCCAGTCATTGCATTTTTTATCTTGTTTGTCCCAGTCATTTTATAATTTTTATGAATTAATGGGTATACTGAATAATTTTTATATTGTTTTATTTATAGTTGCGAATTAAGCCATATTTTATAGATTTATGATTTGAGTTCAGTGATGTGGCAGTGAATAAAACAGGATATTAACTTCGATACTTTTGGTATAATTAAAGTTATATATCAAATATTTTCTTGCTATGCAGTTAAAATACATGTAACTTAAAGATAACTGTACAAACTTGAAAAAATTATTGTTTTGTTATTCAATTCAAAGAGCTGGTGGTTACTGTTGACTGGCTTGCTGCCTTTCATTGTTTTTCAGCATTGACTGCAGTAAATTGTAGTTGATGTATTATATGCAAACAACAACAACAAAAAACACTAAAGCACTACATATGGTGTACACCAGTTTCTGTGTCTGGACATCTAATAATAGAATAATTTAAATTTCCTGAGTGCTACTACCAATAATATCAACTAAAGAACATGATGGGGCTTTACAGTGTACAACCTTGTTATAAACTAATGCACAATAACCTGTTTGTTCAAAAATATGAAAATTCAATGGACAGATAGCATTTTATGTTGTGTCAAATCAATGCAAAACAACTAACCATGGAATAGAGAGCTACTAATCTATGCCTTTCATGATTTTATGACAAACATACACTGAATGCTTAAAATGTCTAAAGAACATACATGTTAAAAATAAAGAGTAGCTGAAAGGCAAAATTTACTTGACTAATCTCTGGCATCAGTTTATGTATGAATGAGGATTTGTTCATCATTAGTCCTTGTTAAAAACTTAAAGCAGGTTCAGTGGATGACTGTCACACTTACCTAAGTCGTATTCCAATACACTTGATCTAGTCAAAGACCTTAGATTTGCATATTCATTCTTGTGTGTTGATAATTTTGTTTTTAATAGGACTAACATAACTGATAGCAAGGAAAGATAAAGCTGTAAACATTTTATGATTTTAATGATGGAATATAATCTTTAAATTAAAAAAATATTGTATGTCGTAATCAGATTTAGGCTAAGTGGTTTCTGCCTGACTTAAATATCCAAAAGATTGAAATTTTACAGAATTCTTAATCCAATAGAGAGAGAGAGAAAAGAAATCTTTCACTTCATATGACTATAGAAATATTATAATCATTTTATTTTTAGTTTTAATGATTTTATGGAATTTTTGACAATTATGATTGAAAGTGGAGGTTTTGTTTTTGATTTCATCTCATTGTTTGTAGTATGTTGACATCTTTTTTCTCTCATTTTTTATGGTGTACTTTATAGTGTTTGGTTTAGTATCTAGTCTTATATTTGGAGGTGGAGGTTTTAATTTTTTGTGTGAACTTAGTTTTTATTTACTTTTTCTCATTTACTTATGGTGTGTATAATAGCTTCTATTCTTGTATTCATTCCTACTTGATGTATTATGATACTAATCTTGAATCTTGAGTAAGATTTTGAATTTTATAAAACGTTAACAATGGGCAAATTGTTTTGTTCAGTTTTTTTATAAATTTCAGTTGACATTTTAGGTTTTTATCAGACTGGCAAACCTGCCATTTTGCTGTAAGTTTCTAACTAAATTCAAACCAGGATGGGATTTTTTAACTAATATGTATATAGGTGAGAAATGATGCTAAGTGCTAGCAAGGACAAAAGTGGAAAAATGCTATTTCACATACTTGGTAACAAATACTTCATGCCAATTTTCAAATAACCATTGGTATAGTGCAGTTTAAAATGAACTCTTTCAGTTGGTTATAAACAAATACATTAACTAAGTGCGTGTGCCTTGTAAATCTCAAATTTTAAGTGTAGAAGTTGGTCATGGTTCCTATCAAGGGTTTCCAAAATTTATTTCTTCTTTCTCAAAACTCATCTTAAGGAATTTGAACAGTGCAATTAACCTAGTTTCTCTCCTTACATGGAAGTATAGGGTACATCTAGAACTACTCAAGCTATTGAGATCAAAACCTAAGATTGGTGAATTCTCATACATCATGTGACAACAAAACTGAAGTTTAAATATGTTTTAAAGGTTTATTTTGAAACAAAGGAATTAAAACTTAAATAATATAAAACTAGATCATAACATACATTAGTAATAAAGTTGTTTAATTAAATTTTGAATGTAACTCAAAATGTAACATTTTGTGACATGCACAAAAAAGTATGTAAGGTATGTCCCAGGGGATGTACCTGTAATCTGGGTTAATAAAATTATAATACAATTTCAGGAAAAACAGTTAAGTTTACCAATTGAAAATTACAATTATGTAAAAATTTGTTTGTAGAACAACCAGACGATATAATGCTTAATTATTTTTAAGTCATTCATCAAAGGTTGTGAAGTTGCATCATGATCCTACTGATCAGGCTACAAAGGTATTTATTGAAACTGAAGGAAGATAATCTTTTAACAGAGAAACCATATTAAAAGAAGATTTAACCATTAGGTAGTCATCCTAGAATTTTGTATGGTGTACTTGAAATTCATAAAAACGGATATTTGTTAAGACGTGTAGTTTTGGAAATTGAAACTTCTAATCATGCTTTGGATGTATTTTTAGTTGATTTCATGAAGGCTTTTACTATTAAAGAGTTTGGTAACAACTTTATTGTTCCAGTTATGGTGCTGAGTTTGTATGTACAAATATCTCTATAAGAAACTATACAGTTAAGTGCTGTTTTGGTTTTTGATAATAACTAAAGTTTGAGCATTTCCCAACTTGTATTTTTGAAACTGATGAATTTTGTAATTTCAAAACATGCATACCTCTGTCGACACTATAGCTATTTCTTGATCTCCAGGGTTTCCACTCTTTGCCCATTTAAGCTTTAAAAATGCTTGTTCCAGTCTTTTATACCCCCACTCGAATTCCTTTGGCAAATTCTAAATTGCAAAATTTTCCACCAGCTTCAATGCACCTTCTATGTTAGTACTGTATATAAGCACCTCAATCAGATAATGTAATTACTTTTTCTTGACAAAGCGCTCAGCACAGATTTCTATAAACAGGAGTGTTGTGATTATTCACAACTTACATTGTGACTTTTGACGTAGTTGGTTTACAACAGTTATATCTTTGCTTATATTTATAAATTAATTAAACAAAAAAAAAAATGTACCGATGTGTATGAATTCCCAAGTTAATGTTTTACTAAGGAGGCCAACCAGACCTCATCCACCTCTACTATCTGGGGTTTCTCAACATCCAGGGGAGGGGTCACTTTCAGTCAAGGCTGCTCGTGATATGACCCATTGCAAGATGGAGACATATATGCGAACCAAGGGTGCCTCTCTGGGGGTGCTGGAGAGAATTTAGACTCACTTTTTCCGGCTCTTTCTTTTACTAGGTCAGTCTTAACAGAGGATCCTCTTGATGAGCCACCTCCAGCTGATTTTTATTCAGTTGGTTACTCGGGTTTGTGAGGTTTTGGGGGTCTCTCCTATTGTATTTGACTCTACTCCTTCTTTGTTGGCAGGAAGGATGGCAAGCGACAACTTGGTTTTCCTCCTTCTCCTGATATTGCTGTTCATGCTGGGAGATTTGCTATTCAGTTATGCGATGGGATAGCTATGCCTTGTCCCCCCACATTTATCAAACAGCATGCTTTGGCTTATCACCACCAGGAGGAGGTATATTTAGATTCTCAATGTATGGACCCCTTTTTGGACCTGTGAGGTTTGAGATTGGAACCTGTGATCACTTTGAACAGATCACAGTTTTCTCGGATTCGTCTTACCTGAGGTATTTATCTTCAATCCAACTTTTGTCGAAAGCCTATCAATGTTCCCCTAAGCAATTTGAGGACAAGTTGGGTATTTTGCTGACATCTACTTCAGTCATATTGTCTTCTTCAGTTCTTTCTATGGTTTCTTGACTGGATTGTTGTTGGGATTTATTGGGTAGAAACTCTTTGTTAGAAAATGTTTGTTTATTGTTTTCTGCCCTCAGGGAGTTATGGGAAGCTCCTTTTTTCCATCCCATGTAGTTTACCGGAGTTCCAGAGATGATAGAATCATGAATTGATTCAGCACATTTACATTCTTCTTTATCTCACCTTTCTGGCACTAATTTGGGAGTGTTGGCTCGTAGTGTTTCCTGACCACCTCCTTCAGTTCCCAGGTCTATTGGTTCCCATAATACAGTCCATCCATACTCTCGAGGATCTTCGGCTGGAGCGGACTGTCGATAATGGTGTTGGTTACTACCCCGTGGGCGGGGAAGCAGTGGGAGCACGATTCCATCACTTTCTGGACATCTGGAGCTCTTTCACCAGAGATCCATGGGTACTTCATGTTCTGGCTTCAGGGTTGTTCATTCAATTTACATCACCTCCACCATTACCTACACAACCTGTTACTTTGTCACCTCCAACAGATCCATGGGGAGTGGATCTTCATTCCGAGGACATAAGAGAATTGTTAGTAAAAAGGGCAGTAGAGAAGGTCGATCCCATTCTTCCGGGATTTTTGTCCCATTTAGTTGTTGTATCCAAGAAGATGGGAAATTGGTGTCCAAACATCGATCTGTCCCAACTCAACCAATTTTTAGATCCTCCTTGTTTTACTGTGAAACCCTTTCTCAATCTATGATGGCACTTTGTGTCAGGGCTGTGTATGACCAAGTTTGATGTTACCGACCCTTATATTCATATTCCTATAGCTAAATCTTCCCGGAGGTTTCTCAGATTTGTGCACAAGGGTCAAGGACTGCAGTTCATGGCTCTACCTTTTGGTCTTGCATCAGCACCTTA